ATTTTCTACCCACAGGGCTTGACAGACAGTTGTATAGCTGAAGAGGCTCTGAAAGTTTCAGCTGTTCCTGGACCAGCTGACCAGAAGACTGGGTTACCATCAGAACCTTCTAGTTCCTATTCACATAGGGAGAAGTCCAGTATTTTCTACCAACAAGACTTGCCAGATAGTCATCTAACTGAAGAGGCTCTGAAAGTTTCAGCTGTTCCTGGACCAGGTGACCAGAAGACCAGAAAACCAGCAGTAACTTCTATTTCTTACTCACACAGAGAGAAGCCTAGTATTTCTTACCAACAGGAGCTGCCGGGTAGTCATCTAACTGAAGAGGCTCTGAAAGTTTCAGGTGTTCCTGGACCAGCTGACCAGAAGACTGGGATACCTACAGAACCATCTAGCTCCTATTCATATGGAGAGAAGCCTATCATTTTTTACCAGCAAAGGTTGCCAGATCTTACTCAAGAGGCTTTAAAAGTTTTAGGGGTTCCTGGACCTGTGGAGGAGAAGACTGGGATATCAGCAGTTACCTCTACTTCTTCCTCACATGGAGAGAAGCTCGTCATTTCTTACCAGCAAGAGTTACCAGATATTACTGAAGAAACTTTGAAAGTTTCAGCTGTTTCTGGACCAGCTGACCAGAAGGCTGGGATGCGAATAATCCCTTCTAGTTCCTACTCATATAGAGACAAGGCCAATATTTTTGACCAGCAGGAATTGCCAGATCTTACTGAAGAAGCTTTAAAAGTTTTTGCTCTTCCTGGCCCAGCTGCCCAGAAGACTGAGATACCAACAGGACCTTCTAGTTCTTACTCACATAAGGAGAAACTCACGATTTCATCTGTGATTTTACCGGATGACCAGAAGACTGAGTTACCAACAGCTTCTCCGAGTTTCTACTCACATATAGAGAAGCCCAAGAATTCAACGGTGACTGGATCAGACAACCAGAAGACTCCCTTACTGACAGTTTTTCGTAATTTTTATTCTCAGAGAGTAAAGCCCAGTATTTTCTTTAAACAGAAGTTGCCAGATAGACATCAAAGTGGAGATATTCTGAAGATTTCAACTGTCCCTGAACAAACTGATGTGAATTCTGGAATACCAATACCTCTTTCTAGTTCCTATTCACACAGAGAGAAAACTATTTTCTACCCACAGGAATTGCTGGACAAGCATCTAACTGAAGATACACTGAAGGTTTCAACAATTCCTGGACCAGCTGACCAGAAAACTGTGTCATCAACAGCTCCTCCTAGTTCCTTTTCACACAGAGAAAAACCAGATATATTCTCTCATCAGGATTTGCCAGATACACATCTAACTGAAGATGCCCTAAAGTTCTCAAGTGGTCTTGGGCAAGCTGATCTGATTACTGAGTTATCAACAGTTTCTCCTGGGACTTATTCACATAGTGAGAAGCACAAACTTGTTTCAGACCACGTTCAAAGGCTCATAGATAATTTGGATTCTTCTAACTCCAGTATTATCTCAAACAGTATGCCTTTAAATTCTCAGGCTGATGGTAGAGTTGTAATAAGTAAGCCAGAATCTTCGAGTTTTGAAGATGTTGGCTCTGAGGAAATCCGGGACACAGACAATGGTTCCAAAAGTCTTAAAGAGATTCGGACACTTTTAATGGAGGCAGAAAATATAGCACTGAAACGATGCAATTTTCCTGCTCCCCTTGTCCCTTTCAGAGATGTTAGTGATATTTCCTTTATACAATCTAAGAAGGTGGTTTGCTTCAAAGAACCCCCCACAACTGATGAATCTAATGATGATTTACCTCAGAGACAGCCATTCGCAGAGGAAAGCCAAAGCAACAAGTGCATACAGAAGGATATTAGCACACAGACGAATGTGAAATGCCAGAGAAGCATTGAAAATCGGGAGTTTATTAGTTCAGCTACAGTTAGAAGTCCTCTACAGGAAGCAGAAAGCAAAGCCAAGGTGGCATTAGACGAAACCCTTAGGCAGTATAAAACAGCCAAATCTGTAATGAGATCTGAATCTGAAGGGTGTAGTGGGACCATTGGAAATCAAATTGTTATCCCTATGATGACTATTATTAGAAGTGATTCAAGTAGTGATGCCAGTTCCTGCTCATGGGACAGTAATTCCATGGAGTCAGTTTCTGATGTTCTTCTAAACTTCTTTCCATATGCTTCATCCAAGACAAGTATGACGGATAGCAGAGAGGAAGAGGGTGTGTCAGAGAGCGATGATGGGGGTAGTAGCAGTGTAGATTCACTGGCTGCACATGTGAAAAACCTTCTGAAGTGTGAATCCTCTTTGAATCATGCTAAACAGATACTCAGAAATGCAGAGGAAGAGGAATGTCGGGTACGAGCACGAGGTAGGAACAGATAATTTGTTATAAATGCAGGTCAAACTTGTAGACATTATAGTTTAACAATTTGTTAAAGTTAAGTTTTTTGGAGTTCTAAATTTATTTTCTTGTAGAATTGTTAGAATGATTACATTTTCCACTGGCAATCCAGAATAAGCCCGTTTAACCAATAATATAGCGAAGTCACAGTGTTAGTTGTGCTACTCTGAGTTTGGGGTCTTAGGAAAAGTAGGTTCTGTTGTCTGAAGGAGAGTAAGGAGATAGCTTGGGTTTCCAAACTCCTAAAGCTCTCATGTTTCCCTTCTTCCCATTATAGTGTCCTTGTTTTGGAGACAGAAAAAAAACTCCAGTTTGCTCTGCTCTAAATCATTCTGTATCATAAAACTACATTTTCTTTCTTATCCCCTCTTCTAATAAAATTCTTGGAGCAGATCTTAGACGTGAGAAAAAACTAATCAAGGTATTTCACACTGAAACTTTGGTTAGAGAATGTTGGGTTAGAGAATAAACTTGGGTTTAAAAGAGAATATTTATTAATCCTATTATTGTCTAATAGAATTCCATTATAAAAAAAAAACTAAGGCCATATGGGGAATATATTTTGGAGAGCAACTTGTAAGCAATTCAGGCCTACCTGGGAATCTTCCCTTGAAATTAACGGCCTACACCATTACTTCTATCATGCATATTTGAGTCTCAAAAACACTCCAAGTTTTGTTTATTATTTTTAAACATCAGCTCTCGTGGAAGTGGCAGTAACTGTAGCAGGAGCTGTAGGAGGAGCTGATAGGAAAGGCAAAGGGACTGTCTTGATTGGAAGGAAGATTAAGATAAAAATGGTTGAGTACCATATTAAAGTAGCCTCATTGGAGAAATATGTGTAGAATATGGTTTTTAAAAGTCAGACTTTTCAGTGAAATGATCTATCTCACGAACTAATAATTTCTCATAAAATTGAGAGCACACACCTTTTGCTAAGCTTTGTGGTAGGCATAAAATTGTTTATGTTGATGATCTCTGTGCTCTTATAATCACCAACAAATGATTACTTTCGCATTGTGTTATCTCAAGTGTTTTTATGCTTTCTCTCCAGCCTGGAATCTGAAGTTTAATTTGGCTCATGAGTGTGGCTACTCCATTTCAGAATTAAATGAAGATGACAGGAGAAAAGTAGAAGAGATCAAAGCAGAGTTGTTTGGTCATGGGAGAACAGCGGACTTGTCCACGGTATAAAAAAAATCTAGAAGTGAAGAGAGAAAATGTGAAAGAAAGGGTGGTGGAATTTGTCTCTTCCCTGGGCATTGATGACTCCAGTGGAGTCACTGATAGTCTTTGGCTAAGGTGTTAGGCATCTTAATTCTTCAAAAGTTAAGATTTAAGGATTAGATTCTGTAGGATTTGATTAATTCCAAATCCATCTATTGAAACAAATTACCTCCTTACAAAAATAAGAATGGGTTCACTCATTTTATCAGTATATTGTTGTCACTCTTATTTTCTCTTGAAGGTGATATCTTGAGATGCAGATGAAGTCCAGCTATTTTCAGATGTATATTCTCTGCTTAAGAATACAGAGCCAAAATAGCTTATGTATAAAGGACTTTCTTCTTAATAGTACTTATTTCCCTTCTATTGTGAATTATTTCTTGCATAGAAAAGAATATAGGTGAAGCATATATATAAAGAATAAAGAAAAGTAAAAATTATTCCTGTATATCAGCCATCCAGCCTGAGAAATAGAATGTTACCAAATATTATTGAAGTCCTGTGTGTCACCTTATCTCAATTGGCTTATCTCAGTTGGCTTATCTCAATTTTGGAAAAGTTTTTTAAAAGTATAAATTAGATTGGATTTTAGGTTTATGTATATGCTTGTGAAAAACAAAATTAACAGATAATAAAATGGATACTTAGTTGTGCTAGCACCCTTTATTTAAAAGTACATATTTTCCCCAGTAATCTGCATTTCCTTATTTCTTTAATCTTCATGTATTGATGTTTTCAGACCCTCTAGCAATCAAATTGCCTTCCTTTGGATAGACTCTAGTTTGTATTCTTCTGAAAATATGGTGTCCTGAATTTGATTAAGCACAAAATTTCACATGTGATTTGACCAGCGTAAAGTATATTTGGTAATTCTCTTTTTGCTAATGTATTCTGTGATTTCTAGTGGTCACATCATACTATGCCATTTTTTAAAAAAAGCATTAACTGCTGTCCAGGTTTCTATTCTCATTTCTTGTGCCTGTATAATTCTTTTTAACTCTGCTGTATTTCTTCTTATTGGTTTCATATGAATGTTCAAGCCTGTTGGAATGATTTTGAATCTCAATTAGGTCATCTGTTTTATTAAATATCCCTTCCAGCTTTGTGCTATTTATATATTTAGTAATAATTTGTGTCCAAATTATTGATAAAAATCTTTATTAAGACAGGGTTATGGGGAAAGAGTCTAAAACTTTTTGAATAAGATTTTCCTTACAACTGGGGTAAGTACTTCACCATGCTATCATTCAATCCACAATTTTATACTTACATTTGACTTTCTTCAATCTGTTATCTGAGTGATTATGAGCTATAGTTGGTCTAGTATGACTTGTTCTTAGTGAACTCATATTGCCCACGATTATGTGTATATTTTTGGATTCTTCTTTTTAACTTAAATATGATCATTTCCCCTTAAAACTTCTCTAAAAGCACAATTTTACATAGGTATATAATGTTCCATTATATGGATATAACAATTTAATCATTCCCCTACTGTTGGAAATTTATTCATTCATTCATCCACAAATGCTTATTGGATGCCTAATATGTTCCAGTCACTGGTCTATTTGCTGAGGACATATCACTGAAAACAATAGACAAAAATTCCTCCCTCTTGAAGCTTACATTCAAGTGAGAGGTTACAGAGAGCAACTAAATAAGTAAGTAAAATATATAATATGTCAGTTGATGGTATGGCTGGGAGACAAATAAAGCAGAATGGTCAAGGAAGGACCTGAGAAGGAAATATTGGATCAAATATCTAAAGAAGATATGAGAGTAAGCCATTTGGGTATCAGTGGAAAGAGCATTCCAGACAGAAATAGCATGTGCAAAGTCCCTGAGGTCAGAGTGTGCTGGTGTGTTAAAGGGTAGTAAGGAGGCCAGTGTGGTTGGAGAGAGACTGAAAGAGAGAAAACCAGATTGTGGAGGGCAGTAGTTCTTATCAGGGACAGTAAATGCCTCCTAAAGGCACATTTTGGAAATTTATTGTGGGTTGTTTTGGTCATCACAGTAATTGAGGGTTGCTTCTGGGGTGTAGTAGATAGATGTCAGAGATATTAGATGTACACACTACGGTTTCACACAATGAAGAGTTGTCCCTTGTCACATACAACTTTTGAATGTCCCTCTGAATATTCATGTGGGTGAAAAACCCCTTATAGTTCCTTAAACTGAGTCTCTTGGAGACAGCATATAGTTGGATCATGTCTTTTTTTTCTTTCCCGTTCTGCCAGTCTCTGTGTTTTGATGGGAGAGTTTAATCCATTTACATTTAATGTAATTACCAATAAGGAGAGACCTATTTTTGTCGTTTTGCTATTTGTTTTTCTGTGTCAAAGAAATGTTTTTTTATGTTTATGTTTAAGTACAACTTAAGCCAAGTAGACAATAGATCATCACTTTTCTTTCTTTTTTTTTTTGGTGAGGAAGATTGTTGCTGAGCTAACATCTGTGCCAGTCTTCCTCTATTTTGTATGTGGGATGCCGCCACAGCATGGCCTGATGAACGATGTGTAAGTCTGTGCCTGGGATCCGAACCTGTGAACCCCGGGCCACCAAAGTGGAACGCACAAACTTAACCACTACACCACCGGGCTGGTCCTACTCTTTTTCCCTGTTTGGTAACCTCTGAAGACAGGAAAAGATTGAAGTCAGTAATTTAAATCATCATGGTATATGGACCAATAGCTCTAAGTTTATAAAGAAAACCATAAAACAAACTTAAAAGTAAAAATAAAACAAGCCAAACTAAGAAAGTAGTAAGAAGAAAATGATGAAATCAAATTATCAGTTAATGAACTAGAAAACAGAAAAATAGTAGACTTAGACATTAAAACTTAGATTTGAATCTTGGAAAAATTCTAAATCAATAGGCAACTTCTAGCTAACTAGATGATTACAAGGGAAAAAAATACAATGTTATAGATGAAACAGAGTGTGATAAACATACCATTGAGAAATTTTGAAATCATAAGAGAATATAATGTGCACCTCTTCTCATTAGGTTTAAAATTTTCATGAAATGGCTGATTTTCTGAAAATGTAAACAAATCTTAAATAGATTGGACATGTACAAGACAGAAAATCCTTGTTGATCAAAGATTTAACTTCAAGGATATGGTACCTGACCTATTCGTTAATATTAGAGAATATTTTCTGGGGGTGATATTGATGTTGTAGTTATATGATAGGTGAATGACACTATTCTTAGGAGATGCAGTGGTGAATTATTTAGGATTGAAGTGTCATATCCCAATGTCTGTGTAAAGAGATAAAAGCTGATGGGGAAATGTTATACCAACAATTCTTGAATCATGGTAGAAGGAATTCAAATGTTTATTTTAACATTCTATCAACTTCTTTTTTTAAGACTGGTTTTTAGAGTTGTTTTAGATTCACAGCAAAATTGCAAGGAAGATAAAGAGATTTCCCAAATGCCCCCTGGCCCAACACTTGCATTTCCTCCACCATTATCAACGTCCTCTACCAGAGTGGTACATTTGTACAATTAATGAACCTACATTGACACATCATAATCAGCCAAAGTCCAAAGTTTACATTAGGGTTCACTCCTGGTGTTATAAATTCTTTGGATTTGGACAGCATATAATGCCGTATATCCATCATTATACTATCATACAGAATATTTTCACCACCCTAAATTTCCTCTCTACTGTATCTTTTCAGTTCTACTACTCACACACCCTGACTGCAACTGCTAATCTTTTTATTGTCTCCATACTTTGGCTTTTTCAACAGTGCATATAGTTGGAATCATACCACATGTGGCCTTTTCAAATTGGCTTCTCTCAATTAGTAATATGCATTTAAGGTTCCTCCATGTATTTTCATGGCTTGATTGTTCATTTATTTTTAGCACTGAATAATAGTCCATTGTCTGGATATATCACAGTTTATCTGTTTACCTACTGAAGGACATCTTGGTTGCTTCCAAGTTTTGGCAATTATGAATAAGTTGCTATAAACATCCTGATGCAGGTTTTTGTGTGGACATAAGTTTTCAGCTCCTTTGGGTAAATATCAAGGAGCACAAATGCTATATCATGTGGTAAGAGTAAGTTTAGTTTTGTAAGATACTGCCAAACTGTCTTACAAAGTAGCTGTACCATTTCACATTCCCAATGAGTCAGAATTCCTGTTCCTCCACATCCTCATCAGCATTTGATATTGTCAGTGTTCTGCATTTTGACCATTCTAAGGTGTGTAGTGGTGTCTTGTTTTAATTTGCATTTCCCTGATGATGTGTGATAGGGAGGATCTTTTCATATGCTTATTTTCCAGCTGTGTATCTTTGGTGAGGTATCTGTTAATGTCTTTGGCCCATTTTTTAGTTGGGTTTTCTTTTTTTATTGTTGATTTTTAAGAGTTCTTTGTAATTTTAGATAATAGTCCTTTATCAGATGTATGTTATGCCAATATTTTCTCCCAGTCTGTGGCTTGTCTTCTCATTCTCTTGACATTATCTTTCACAGAACACAAGTTTTTAATTTTAATGAGTCCAGCTTATCAATTATTTATTTCAAGGATTGTGCTTTTGGTGTTGTATCTAAAAAAGATATGGTCCTCACCATATATATCCAAGGTCATCTCGGTTGTCTACTGTTATCTTCTAGGAGTTTTATAGTTTTGCATTTTACATTTAGGTCTATGATCCGTTTTGAGTTGATTTTTGTGAAGGGTTTAAGGTCTGTGTCTAGATTTATTTTCTTCATGTTGATGTCCAGTTGTTCCAGCACCACTTGTTGAAAAGACTGTCTCTGCTCCATTATATTGCCTTTGTTCCTTTGTCAAAGATGAGTTGACTATGTTTATGTGGATCTATTTCTGGGCTCTGTTCTGTTACAGTGATCTATTTGTTCTTTTGCCAATACCACACCATCTTGATTACTGTAGCTTTATGGTAGGTCTCAAAGTAGGGTAGAATCAGTCTCCAACTT